AAACTGCTGGGATTCCAGGCATGAACCACCGTGCCCAGCTATCTTCATTTTCTTTCTTTTTTTTTTTTTTTGAGATGGAGTTTCACTCTTGTTACCCAGGCTGGAGTGCAATGGCGCAATCTCGGCTCACCGCAACCTCCGCCTCCTGGGTTCAGGCAATTCTCCTGCCTCAGCCTCCTGAGTAGCTAGGATTACAGGCACGTGCCACCATGCCCAGCTAATTTTTTGTATTTTTAGTAGAGACGGGGTTTCACCATGTTGACCAGAATGGTCTCAATCTCTTGACCTCGTGATCCACCCGCCTCGGCCTCCCAAAGTGCTGGGATTACAGGCTTGAGCCACCGCGCCCGGCCTTCATTTTCTTAAACAAGGTTACTTTATTGAGCAGCAGAGAATGTAGGAAGGTGAAGGAGATGGTTCCCAGCAAGCAGGAGGCAGGTGCATGCATGGGGCGAGGGGTTCCCGGTTTACTGGTAGACTAGCAGGCACCTTAGCCCACAAGCTGGCTTCCCAGAATGACAAGTTTGCTCCTGTGCTAAGTATTGTCCAAGAGTGAAACAAAGTCTAGGAACCCACCTCTCCCTGTTCCTCAATGATGGATTCAGGTTGGTCTTTTTTTTTTCCCCCCACAGTCTTACTCTGTCGCCCAGGTTGGAGTGCCCTGGTGTGATCTTGGCTCACTGCAACCTCTGCCTCCTGGGTTCTAGTGATTCTCCTGTCTCAGCCTCCTGAGTAGCTGGAATTACAGGCACCCACCACCACATCCAGCTAATTTTTGTATTTTTAGTAGAGATGGGGTTTCACCATGTTGGCCAGGCTGATCTCGAACACCTGACTTCATGATCTGCGGGCCTTGGCCTCCCAAAGTGCTGGGATTACAGGTGTGAGCCACCGCGCCCGGTCAGGTTGGTCATTTTTAGAGAGTTGGTCCCCTGAAGCTCCCAGTCATTCACAGGCCTCTGCCCTGTCCCCTGTCCACATTGAGGCCGGGAGGGCCACAGGGAGGGACCTGTCCAGTATGTCCAGTACGGTCGCAGCTCTTCCCAGGAGGGAACCCTTGTCTTCCAAAAGTTTTCTTTCCCCTCCTCTGGCCATTCCAGGCTGAAGGAATGAAAACTCCCTCTCTCTAGGCTGGAAAACAGAGAAGTGACATGTAATTTATGAGCCCAAAGTGCATAAGTCCTATGTGCACAAAGGGGCCGGGTAAATATTTAAAGATTAGAGCCAGCTGGGGAGAAACACAAAAGGCTGGGGCAATGGGGGTCGCTCTGAATTCACTGTCCCTGAGCTGGGCCAGGTCAGCATTGATGCACTCACTGGAGTCCTGGCCTTTGTCTTCTGAAGGACCCTTGGCTGCTGGGCTATTGGGAGTCCCCACACAGCTAAAGAGAGTTAAACAATCACAGCCTCTCCAACCGCATCTGGAGACAATTCGCTGAGTCATTTCAAAGCTTTTGCTGTGTCCCAATAGTTAATTACAAGGAGCAATCACTTCATTCCACTTTGAGATGCATCTGCAGAGGGGGACAGCAGATTTCTCCCTCCAGTCACCTGCATCCACAGTAGCCTGTGCAGCCCTCACCAGTTAGCACTGGTTCAAGCACCTGGAAGTGCAGAAAGGAAGGGGCTCCCACCTGGAGTCACAAGGTACCCACCGCTGTCCTCTGGGATGGGCCGCAGATAGGGCTCTTGTCCTGGGGCCCAAAAACCTTTCCCCTCTTGGTTCCAGACCTGACATAATGTTCTTTCTTTTGTCAAAGTCAACAAAACCAAATGAGGGAAGGGGTGGCACAGACACTTGTCACTTTCTCAAATTCCCCGGCATGAGACAGAAGGGGCCCTGAGCAGCTTTGGAGGCCCCAAGCACCCTCAGGAGTTATAGAAGGAAGTTTTTTCTCCTTGAATGAGCAGAGGGGGGCCTGGGTCTCCCCACTTCTCCTCCTGGACCTGTACTCCTTTCCAGGCTGCCTTGGGGACCCTAGATGCTAAAGATGGAAAGGGAGTTGGTGGCCTACATCCCGGCTTGCGTAAGCCCCGATTCTAAGTTGGTCCATGCCCTTCCCGGCAGCCGGAGAGCGCTTTGTCCTGCTTGCCCTCAGAGGATAGGGTGAACCCACTGCCGCTCTGAAAATACATTCTGGTTGCTGTGAGCCCCTTTGGAGCCAGGCCTGCCTGAGGCTGTGATAGGATGTCCAGACTCAGGGCTTGTACTCATAGTAGCAGGCTGGGATGGAGGGTGGACCCCAAGTCCTTAGCCTGGGTTTCCGGGAAGGGTCCCTGTAGAAGCTAATCTGCTGTCTTTCCCAAAATGACCTTGCAGAAGTAAAGCACAATGACTAACTTAGCAGAGGAAGTGGCTGCCCAGACAGAGGAGCAAGAACTGGGAGTAAGGTAGGGATGGTGGGGAGAAACCCGGCTCAGAGCTGGGAAAACAGGAGGGTGGAGATTGCACCAAGACCTCTCCCCACCTTGATCCTGCACGACCGCCGGCCGGTGTAAGGCAAGTAGTGGGCCAAGGAGGTTGTGATGGAGGAGCCACGGGGCGGGAGCGCCAGAAAGGAGGAGAATCATCCAAAGTCGGGAGACCCCTGCCCGAAAACATGCCACAGGACAGGGGACGCCGCGGGCAGTGCCGGGATTGGAGTGGGGGGCCGCAGAGGCAGAGGTCCATTCAGTGGACCAGGGCGGAGCGACGCCTGAGAATTCCGCCCAGGCCTTAAGGCCGGCCTCGCCTCCCGCAGCCAAAGCAGAACATTGCAAATTAGCACATTTTGCGGTCAATTTTCCACTGCTTAAGAAACACTAAGCCATCCACGTGAGCGGCCCCACCCAGCGCGACTGAGATCCCAGGGCACCGGCTTGGGAGGGGTGGTGGCCCTGGGAAGGGCGGGTGTCGGGGTTCGGGAGGGAGCAGCCCGAGGGCCCCTTTATGGCGGCCGGACTCAGAAGAGGGGGCGGGCCCGGCACCCGGCTGCGGGCCGCGAGAGCTGCGCGGAGGGCCATTGGTTTGCTAATGCACCCGAGTTGAAAGGCGCGGGCGGCGGTTTATAGGGAGGGATTGTAATTAGAGGACAAATTGCCCCGCTGCCGGCGCAGCCTGAGAACCCGGGAGGGGGAGGCCAGCCGGGGCGCGGCGCGCGCCAGACCTCGGTGCAGATGTGCAGCAGCTGGAAGCCCGCGCCCGGCGGGGCGCCCGGAGTTTGGCCCCGAGGGGGCGGGCGCGGGCGCCGCTTTGTGGGGCCCGCACAATGCCCGTAACACTCGGCTGCCCCCTTTGTGCCCGGCCGTGCCGCCCGCCCACTCCGCGGCGCCTTTGTACCGCGCCGCCCCCTCCCCAAGCTCGAAGCCAGTCGCACGGAGGACGCCCCGGCCCGGCTGGCCCTGGCGCTTCAAAGCTGCCCGGCGCGTGCCAGCGCCTGCCGCCTGGCGTCGGCCCCCGCAGCCCTCCCAAGCCCGGGTCGGCCCGGATCTGGCCCTGCGGCCCTGCGGCCCGGCCTGGAGAGCGCCCCAGAGCTGCTGTTGCCGCTGCCTTGGCCTGAAAGGGGGAGGGCGGGGCGCGATTCTCCACGCTGCTTGGCGCCTGGGAACGCCGTTATCTTGGGAAGGGTAGGCGGGGGCGGGCTGGGGGGAGATGCCTCGGCTTGATAGAGCTGGGAGGCCCACTCCACCCAGAGTCCCTACACAGAAGCCAGTTTGTTCAATCCTCTGCCACAGGGCTCAGCTGCAGAACTTTTGCGACTTCCCTGTCACCCTCAGAAGCAATGGGGGCCGCATTGTTCATAACACCATTTTATAAGCTCCAAAACTAAGGCCATCATGGCCCACAGGAGGTGTCTATGTTTGAACCCAGGGACTTCCTGGAGGTCCGCCTTCCTGTCCATCACAGCGACCAGAGTCCAGCCTCCTGGGGACCAACAAGGGGATGGCCCCGGAGCCTTGCTGTAGGGCCTAGCCTGTCCTGGGGCGAGTGCTCCTGGGGCCTCCTCCACTGGGCTCCTCCACTGGGTCCCCATGGCCTGAATAATGGTTGGGATGTGGGCCCTGGACCTCTCGAAGTGTGGCCTGAAGCTCTTTCCAGAATGTCAGTGGTCTCCTGCCACCACCACCTGTTCATGGGGCTGAGAGCAAGCTTATGGGAGTAGACTCCCAGTGCTTCTCCCAGTCCGACAGACAGCGGAGCCGCCCAGCCTGGAGGCAGCCGGGTTCACCCCACCTGCCTCCTGTGGGAAATCTGGGTTGGATCCAAGCAGTGTCAGAGAACTCAGGACCCAGGCTGCACCCCCACAGGAACCCCTCCCAGTCCCGAGGCCCCAGCAAGGATGAAGCCGGCTGTGGCCCTGCGGGCGGGCTGCATGCTTTAATGGGACACATGTTGCTGCGTGGCTCCTGCGGGCTCGGCTTGCGCCCGGCTTTGAGCAGCCACAGGCAGAAAATTGCTGCATTGTCCTGACGTTAGGGCAACTAATGTGGCGTTGTGGGTACAGCCAGAGCATGAAGTGCACAGAGAGGCGTTGCCTTGGCATCATCAATCCCGAGGAAGCCCAGAGCCCTGTCATAGTCAGTGGGGCAGCCTGTGGCCAGCGAGGCCCATGTACCTCCCCAGTGGGTGACCCCAGTATGCTTGCACTCCAGGGTATCAAGGACTTGGCAAGTGGGACTGGAGAACTTACTGGGATTGGGACAGGATGGGCATGGAGCGGGTGGGCATGGCAGGGGTCCTCGGGCTCAGGAAGTGGTGGAGGCCAGAGAGATAAGAAAAAGACGGAGAAAGGGGAAGGGGGGGGTCCCTCGGGAGGCAGGAGGGGTCCTGAAGTGAGAGAAAGCCTGGGTTATGGGAGTGGGCTGAAGGAAGGAGGTAGGGAGCTTCCCAGTGCCTCACCCCTCGGTCCCCTCCTTCTAAGGGTTTCCAGAGTCCAGAGGGTCTCATTGACATGTAAATGAGGGTCCCCTATAAAGACGGCGCTGCCTCCCACTGGTGCGAGGACAGCAACATGGGGACGGAGCCTGCCACCCGGGGCAGCCTCCCCAGCAGCTTCCGAAAGGTCTGAGGTCTTGAGGGGTGAGGGACAGGTGCCCTTCCCGGGCAGCAGGGGCAGAGGGCAGGAGGGTGGTAGTCCCACACTCTAAAGGCCGTTCATCTGTAGATCTCCAAGCCGCTGATGGAGAAGAAGCGCCGGGCACGCATCAACGTGTCGCTGGAGCAGCTCAAGTCGCTGCTGGAGAAACACTACTCACACCAGGTGAGACTCAGGCGGGGTATGGGGTGGGTGACACAATCCCAACCTCTCTGTTTTCACCTCGGCCGGCCGGCCGGCCTAAGAGCCGTTTCCATGGTCGGGTAGATCCAGAAGCGCAAGTTGGAGAAGGCCGACATCCTGGAGTTGAGCGTGAAGTACATGAAAAGTCTTCAGAATTCCTTGCAAGGTACAGACGTGGGCTGGAGGGAGGAGGGGGAGGCGTGTGGGATCAGAGCCAGGGGTGCACAAGGCCAAATAAGAAGGGATTACTCAAGGATCACTTGAGCCTGGGCTTTTGAGACCAGCCTGGGCCACATAGCAAGACAGCAAGACCCCCATCTCAAAAATAAATAAATAATAAAGTGTCCAGTGAAGAGGACAGCTTGGAGGCAGGTGGGCAGCTGGTGAGGGAGCCCCAGCTCGACGGGGGGAGAGGGAGGAGCAGTAAAATTCGGGCTGGCTTTGCGATTGGAATCCGGGTGGTAGGAGGTCTGGACCCCGGGGGCGACATTCGGGTCGTCTCACCTCTCCGCCCTCCTCAACACGCTTCTTCCCTCCTCTCCCCTCCCTCCTTTCCCCTCTCCTCACTCCTCTCTCCCCCTCCACCCCCGCTCCTCCCCTCCCCCTCTCCCCTCTCCCCCCTCTCTCCCCTCTCCTCCCTCTCTCCCCTCCCCTCCCTGCTTCTCCCATCCGCTCCTCCCCACAGGGCTCTGGCCGGTGCCCAGCGGAGCCGAGCACCCGTCGGGCTTCCGCAGCTGCCTGCCCGGCGTGAGCCAGTTCCTTCGGCGCGGAGATGAGGGCGGCGGCGGCCTGCACTGCCCCCTGGTGTCCGAGCGCGCCATCGGCAGCACCATGGACAGCGCCGGGCCGGGCAGGGAGGCGCCTGGGCTGTGCGGCCCCTGCACCTCCGCGGTCTGGGCTCCTGCTCCGGCCGCCAGCGGCCCGCGGTCCCCACCACCCCCTCTCCTCCCCCCCGGAAGTCTCCCCGGCTCCTCCTCCAGCGTCCCCCTGCCGCAGCCAGCGTCCAGTCGCTGCGCCGAGAGCCCCGGGCTGGGCCTGCGCGTGTGGCGGCCCTGGTGAAGCCCCAGGATGGCGGGGACTGAAGGCGCTCCCTATCTGGTCTGGGGACACAGGGACTATTTTGAACACGCCCACAGTGACTGCCGGGAGCCCCCAGTCGTCCTGGGGCGGGGGTGGCTTGGACAGGGCCGCGCACCCGCGAGCGCAGGGAAGTACCCCGAGCCCTGCAGGACCGGGTCTGCGCGTCTGGACATAATCCACCCCCACTCCAGCTCCACCTACACACTCCGGACCGCTCACTCTCCACCCATCCTCCGGAGGGTATGGGAGGCGGTGTCCTGGGCTGCGCCTCTTTCCCAGGGGCCCCTGGCGGGTAGCCCTCCCGCCCCACCCCCGCTCGGCTGCTGCGCCGCGGTGGGAAGGTCGCAGTTGGCAGCAGCGCAGAGGGGACCCCTCGCAGCGAGGAGAATCGCTGCCCCGCCCCGGCCCATTCAGCGGACCGCGGGCGCCCGGTTCCCACCGGCACAAAGCGCGCCCGGCCCCGCCCCGCCGGCGAGGGGCCCCCAGCCTCCCCCGACCCGGGACCCTCTCGGCTTCCAACGATCTCCTCCGCCAGCGACGCTGCCCACCCGGCTGGCGCCTTCTCCGAAGCCCGCATTTCTCAGAAGCACCCCCCCCCCCGCCCCCGACAAGATGCACCGGACGCCCCGCCCCACGCTGTTCCTCGGTTGCTGGCGCCAGCTTGAGGGCTGCAAAAGTGAACCCGGTGCCTCTCGTGGGAGAGGGGCACGCCTTCCGCCCGACTAAGACCCTGGCCCACATTCCGGGCCCAGACCCCATAGACCCCGCAGCTCCAGATCCCTAGGGCTGCGGGAGAATCCAAATCCAGTACAGCCCTCGGAGCGCGCGGTGCTACTTGACTGGTCGATAAATGAGGTTATTGCTGCTCGGATTTAGGTAGTGGAAGGCTCTGAAGTAAGATTTTCTTCCCCTGGGCTTCTGGCCCAGGAGTCCGGGCCATCGAGGGGCAGCTTGGGTTGTGGGGTCAGAGATCCTGGCACGTCCTCCCGACACTTGTAATTCATCTAATAAAACCAGCGCGAATCTGTGAAGTGGGTATCAAGAGGACACCAGGGGTCTAATGTCTCCCACCCCTGCGATGCCTACTTAGGTGCATCTTTTTGAACCATAAATAACTTTCTACAGAAGCTCTTTTTTTGGGCGGCCCTGGCCTGCAGGTGCGCTAACCTCGCCCTGGTCCAAACGCGTAGAGAAGGACCCACGGTGCTTTAGAAGACCGGCTCCACCATCGCGCCTAGCGGGCTTGCTGGAGCTGGGACGAGGGTAGGGGTCCTGGCTATCACCGTCCTGGGTGGGCTCTCGGGTCTGCGCTTCCCGCGGTGTGCAGCGAGGCGGGGAGCGATCAGGACAAATCCCTCTCCCGTCCACCGGGTGGCGGTGTTGCACTGCAGACCCAAACGTCCTTTCTCCAAATTCCCGAGGGGCCACGAGAGGAACAGGGGCCCAACAGGTCCCGGGAGGCTTAGGCCCAGCTCCTATCGCCCTGCTCTGTTCGCTCTCTTCAATCAAGCTCACGGTGACTAGCAGCGCCAGGTGCCATTCCTGGGGCAAGGGCTGCCACCTGGGCTCACAGGGCCTTTCTGCCTCATCCCGTGGCTCCTCCAGGACCATCTCACTCCTCACTCGCTAGGGGGACTTCAGCATTTGCCTGAACACACAGCAAGTGCAACCACCCAAAATGGCATATTACCAGAGGAACTCAGGTTCCAGAGGAATATATTAAGGGGCAGCTGGCCAGCCCTGCTGTGAGTTAGAATAAGAGTTTTCCATGAAAGCAGCCTTGGAATGCCAGGTGCAAATCGTAAGGAAGTTTTTATTGGGTCCTGTACAGAAGAGAAATACTCAATTGTCAAGAAAAAACTACAAAGGAATCCCTGGCTCTGGGTGTGCTATGAAGACAGCTCCCTCCCCTGTTAGCCAGGGTCAAGTTCCTTAGAAACGCAGCAAACAGGCCTGGAGGCTGGACAAAGTGTGGGAGAGGGCTCCAGGCCCAGGGTCCTCCACTTGGGGCCCTCCCCGTTATTTTTGTAAAAACTGCAGGACTGGAGCGATTTGGAGGACTCTGTCCCCCGCAAGTATTGCCGTTGGATATGAAACACGGAGCAAAAACCTAAAGTGACAAATGAGCGAAAACCTAAGGTGACAAGTGGACAGATGACCTCCAGAGGAGACGATGGCTAGCTGGTGACGTCTGCCCCTACATGACGTTAGTCCTTGAAGGCACATCAGCATTGGCCACAGACAGCCCCTCCTGTGGCCAGGGCTGGATTGCAGTTCCCTGCCTTGTTCACCTGTGGCCAGCTCATACCCCCAGTTACCCCACAGCCAGGCACCAGAGGGCCCTTTGAAGCAGAGACAGACTAAGGCAGCTCCCCACCCCACCCCAACAGCTGCTTCTGGGAGTGGGACCCTATCTGGAGGGTGACAAGATGGGCTTGGCCACCTGAGGACCAGAGGAAATTGGGCACAGGCGGGCTCTAAGCTGAACCTGGCAACTGCCTTAGGTCCTCACGTTGAAGGGCCACTGTATAGGGGTAAGTGTCTGAAGGACACAGCCTTTGTATCTGCCCTATTTCACCAGCTCAGTCGTAACTGTTCCTGGCTCTCCTTAGCCTGGGAAGATGCAGGGTCCATGGCAATGCCCAGGCCTGTAAGGGGTCTGCCCAGGAGGAAGGCAAAGAAATGCATTGCTCCCAGGGGTTGGACGCTTGCCTGGGGCCAGGTCTTGAGCTGAGAACCTGGAAGCCTCTGCCAGGATTCCTTCCTGGCCAGGCCTGCACAGGTGGGGAGTGCGGCTGTGGATGAAGTGGGGACACAGAAGCCCAGGCCCTGCTGCCTTCGTGTTCTCCACCTGCACCTTCTAGTGTCATGGTGGGAGCCACAGGGGTGGGAGTAGCAGTGCTGATGTGGTGGGGACAGGCCACCACGGCAGAGTAATGAGGGTAGGGACACTAATGGTGGTCAAGGTGGCTGAGGTGCCAATGTCGGTGGTGCAGTGTGTTGTGCTTAGCTGGGGTGGAGTGTGGGTTCCCAAGGGGGCAGGGGGTCATAGAGTGAGAGGCCTCAAGCCTGGGGGGGGCCACACCAGGCCACATGCTGAAAATGAACCTCTGCAAAGGCCACAGCGGGCCCTAGACTACCTCTCACACCTGGGCCACTCAGTGGCCAAGGTCCATGACCAAGAGACTTCAAACAGCCCTGAGAGTTAATGTCACCTGCTCATCACAGATGAGGAAACTGAGGCAGGACAGGACCTGATCAGAGCCTGTTGGGGTTCTGAAGACCCCTGTGCTTAGAGACCTTCTGTACCCCCCACCCACCCATTCCCTGGGTGTGGCAGTTACGTGCAGTGTGGTGGAAAGCCTGGGCCGGTCAGTGGCCCCAGCTCAGCCCCTCCAAGGCAGAGTTTTGCTCGGTCCCCAGATGGCCGTGTCAGAGTTCCCTACTCCCCCAGTCCTGTTACCCAGGGCTGCCGATGGCGCAGCTGGACGTGCATGTCGCTCACTACCCAAGCCTGGAACGTCACTCAGTTATCCAGTGGCGGCCTCACTCAGCTCCGGTGATGCCGTGCCCAGTGCAGTAGTCCGGGGCAGCTGCCACCCTCGGGACAAAGCCAGCTGGGAGGAGCCGGAAGACAAACACCGAGGCCAATGCCCTCTCACCCCTGTAAGGGGTGGCATGTGTCTGCGCGTGGGGCGGAGGCGGCGTCTTTGGTGGTGTGACCCCCACCAGCGGCTCAGCCTGCCTGCGTCCATGGGGAGGCGCCGGTTGTCCTAGGACGCCGAACCCAGGGAGTCCGAGTGGAGCGTGGCGTAGCCCGAGGACTCAGAGGGCGAGCTCAGGAAGCTGCTGGTGCTGCCGCCACCGCCCGCCGCGCGAAGCCCCCCGGGCTCGCCCCACGACGCGCTCAGGCCCGGGCGCAGGGGACCGCCGTGCACGTGCGCAGCAGGGCGCGGCCCGGGGCTCCGCTGGGCGCTGCCTGGGGGCGTCGGGGCCTCTCCGGGGTCGGTGCCGTCGGCGGCGTCTGGCGCAGCGGGGAAGGGTCCGGGCGGGCGGCGCAGGGCCTGTGGCTCGCACTCGAAGGCGGTCAGGGCGAAGCCGTCTGGCAGCAGCGAGGCCGAGGCAGGAGCGGGGGCCGGGCCCGGGGCTGCCAGGCGGTGAGTCGCAGGCCCGCCGCGGGCCGCCATCCAGAGCCCGGGGCCGCAGCGACAGCAGGCTCTCCGCCGAGCGGCGGCGGGGGCGCGATGGGGGAGCGTCCTCCATGAAGGCCAGGAGGCTGGCGCGGCGCCGCTCGGGCCCAGCAGGCAGCACCAGGTGCGCCAGGGCAGCCAGGTCCTCACCGGAGCCCCAGCGCGGCAGGAAGGCGGGCAGCGGGACGGCAGCCCACACATCCGCGTCGTCGTGGGAGAAGCGCCGTGTGGGTGGGACCTGTCAGGACGCGGCGGGCTTTTACCCCCAGCTGCCCTCCTGTAAAACGGGGACAAACCCTTCCCCACCCCGGGGAAGGGCCTTTCGTGGGTCAGGGCCCAGGCCGCGGGCCAGGGCAGCCTGGCTGGGAGCTGTGAGGCTTGTCCGCCCAGACGCAGTACTGTGCGGGTAGCTGGGGTTGGTTGGGGAGGGGGCTCCTTGAGGACGCTGGGCCCGCAGGAGATAACGGAGATAACGCAGGCGACAGGGATCATGGGGGTGGCAGTTGGGGCCCACCCACACAGGTTGTGTGGCCTTTGGCCAGCCCAGCCTTGGATGGTGACAGCCACCCCTGCAGCTGCAGAGGTGAGATGAGCTCCTAGTGGAGAGGCTCGGGCAGGTCAGGACACCTGCAACCCGCAGGCGTGGGCTCTCCCCCTGCCCTGTGCTCACCTGCAGATATTGCATCTTGTCCTCCTGCAAGGGCCGAAGTGGGTAGAGCTGAGGCAGGCCCCCCTCCAGGGCAGACATCTCATACTTGGCCATCCTGTCTAGGGCCACAAAGTCACCTCCATAGCTGTAGTCCAGGGAGCGCTCCAACACCAGGTCTGGGGAGACGCCACCTTCCAGGCTGGTCTCTGTAAGGTGAGGGGGCAGAAGCTTAGGGCCATGGGAAGCTTGGGGGCATCTAGGAGGGAATCTCAAGGACCCCCCAACCCAACAGACATATAAGGTAGAGGGCTGGTTAGCTGAAAAGGGAAGGGGAAGGGTTCTGGGTTCGAATCCCAACTATGCCACCCTTTAGCTGTGAGACTGGGCAGGGAGGTCACACACTGAGCCAATTTCCCCATCTAGGACATGGGGTGGGACCTGCGGTGACCTTGGGAGCCCTGAGGACTAAATACTACACACAAGGGGCTGGCAGTGCCTGGACGGAGCAAGGCTGGGCTGAGGGTAATGGTATTGCTGGAAACGGTATCCAGACAGGTTACCTCCTCTGCAGGAGCCCCTAGGGCAGCTTGCTGGGGATCCCTGAGGTTGGAGGGTGAGCCCAGGAGCTCAGCTGGAGCACGTGTAGTCACATCCACCAGCTCTGTTAACCACAATATCCCATTACTTGGAACCCAGGGCAGCCAAGCCGGAGAGGAGAGTGGTCTGTGGGAACCTGGCTTGGGTTCTTTGGACATTTGAGTACATTTGGGGGTGACACAAGGGGTATCTGTTGAGAAGTCACCACCTTAGGGGGGTTGCCTGACAGCTGTTTTCCTGCCAACTCCAATGACCTCACCCAGATGCCACTCTCCCCAGGGCCACTCAGGCCATCCTCACCGTCATCGGAGTCCTCGTCGTTGGCCATGAGGGCCATGCACTTCTCCCGGACAGCCTTGAGGTTGGCCCGGTAGCGGTCGCAGGCCCAGAGGAACACAGGCAGCAGCAAGGCCTGGGCCACGGAGCACCACAGCACGCAGAGCGCCATCCACGGTGCTGAGGTGTTGGCCCGCAGGCTGCTGAAGCTCACCACCTGTGGGCACAGGGCTTGGCCTGGCACCTGCAGGACCCCCGACCATCACACAAGCTCCCCCCGAGCCGCAGTCTTGTGTACTGCAGCAGGTCTGACAACCCTTTTGCCAAGGAGAAGGGACCCCTGGGAAGGAAAGAGCTTGAGCGTGGCAGTGGGAGGCCCTGGCTGCTGGGCAGCGCTGGGTAGCCCTGCTCTCCTGTCTCCCTCCAGGCTGCCCAGGGCATGGATTACCACCTTCTTGTCCTTTTTTTTTTTTTTTTTTTTTTTTTTTTTTTTTTTTTTGAGACAGAGTCTCACGCTGTTGTCCAGGCTGGAATGCAGTGGGTAAATCACGGCTCACTGCAGCCTTGATCTCCTGCGCTCAAGCGATCCTCCTGCCTCGGCCTCCCAAAGTGCTGGGATTACAGGCATAAACCACTGTGCCCGGCTGCCACCCCCTTTTTGAGATGAGGAAACTGAGGCTTACAGAACTAGGTCTCAAGCCTGTTCAAGATTCTGCCACCCCCTTCCCAGCCAGTGGCCTCTTCAGCCCTACCCCTGCCTGTAGATTCCCACCGAGGGATCCCACACTCCTCCTCTCCCATAAGAGCTCTCATTGCTGTGTCCCAAAGAGCAACACTTAGTGATTCCCACAAGGGAGTGACAGTGTGGATAATATGGGCATGTCACTCCTGTCATTTGTGGGCCATGTGACACTCAAGAAAGCTGCTCAACCTCTCTGGGGCTCAGTTTCTTCAACTGTAAAATGGGCTAAGAACACCCCATGTTCTAGAAGGTGAAGATTCTGGACTTTATAACAGAAGCATGGAGTGGCCCCACAAACTGCACCCGATCCCCTGCCCGGAAAAGTGGGGGTGTAGGCTGGGCATGGTGGCTCAAGCCTGTAATCCCAGCACTTTGGGAGGCCGAGGCGGGTGGATCATGAGGTCAAGAAATCGAGACCATCATGGTCAACATGGTGAAACTCCGTTTCTACTAAAAATACAAAAAATTAGCTGGGCATGGTGGCACGTGCCTGTAATCCCAGCTACTCAGGAGGCTGAGGCAGGAGAATTGCCTGAACCCAGGAGGCGGACGTTGCGGTGAGCTGAGATCACGCCATTGCACTCTAGCCTGGGTAACAAGAGTGAAACTCTGTCTCAAAAAAAAAAAAAAAAAAAAGAAGTGGGGGTGGCCCGACTCCCTCCTAGCTCCCCTCCCCCCGCTGCCCCCACTCTGCTCCTGAGGTGCCTTTTAGTTCTCTGCTGTTTCATGAATCCCTTTTCCTCCATCTGTACAGGGACCGGGCCGCCAGGCCCCACTCTACACAAGGACCCTTAGCTGGGGGGAAATGAACCTGCTGGGGTGGGGCAGTGGGGGTTGCCTCCTGAGCAAGGCCTCGACTCTGAAGCTGCCACCACCAGCCCCAGTCACCGTTCTGGAGCCCGTGTCCTGCAGTGACTCAGGGAAGGCAGTCTACCTGCTGCTTGGATGAAAACGCTCCGGCTGGTCTTTACCCCAGTCCCAGCCCTCTGCCTGCCTCACTGCAGACCTCTGGGGACTGGGGTGAGTCTCGCAGGTGGGAGGGGCTGGCTACTGAGTCCAGACTTCATTCTTGGGCCAAGCTGGTCCCAACTTCACCAAGAGGACCCCAGGCAGCCCCTCTGGACCGCAGACCAATGTTGGCAAGGCCTTCCTGACAGCAGCCCTCACCTTGGCCTTCCCCAGCTGTTCGTATCAAGTGCAACTCCCCAACAGACAATTGAGGCCCCCTTGGCCTTGCCCTGTCTCCCAGTCCAGCACCCCTACCTAAGTGTGGCATCAAAGCTCCCTCTGTCCCTCCTGGGACCTGGACCCACCAGAAAACCCATGGGCATGCTATCCCACCTCTGCATCAAACAGGCCTTGAGGCCAGACATGGTGGCTTGTGCCTATAATCCCAGCACTTTGGGAGGCTGAGGCAGGCAGATCACCTGAGGTCAGAAGTTTGAGACCAGCCTGGCCAACATGGTGAAACCCCATCTCTACTAAATACACACACACACAGACACAGAATTAGCTGGTGGATGCCTGTAATCCCAGCTACTTAGGAGGCTAAGGCAGGAGACTCACTTGAACCTGGGAGTTGCAGTAGGCCAAGATTGCGCTATTGCACTCCAGCCTGGGCAATAAGCAAAACTCTGTCTCAAAACAAACAAACAAAAC